GCCTTATATTCAATATTTTTTCCTGTGCATATATATATACACTATTATCAACTCACCTTTCAGTCTTTTAGGTTTTTAATTCTTCAATTACAGGGCATTTTCTCTGACTTCAGATCATTCTGTAGCCCTTCTGTATACTCACTTCCATTTTTTCAGTATCCATCTTGCAACGTAAGCATCAGAACTGTGCAGACCATGCCTTAATCACCCTCAGCAATTTGCACATATAGGTAAAAATTGCCACCATTAACATCTGCACTCTGTCTGTAAGCCAAGGTTTGCATGAACCCTTTTTGCAGCAGCTAATGAGTCAGCTGATTCACCAGTCCTTTTCAAACTTTTCCAGTGTATAGGAGAGCCTGCATTCCTTATTCTTAGGTATATGTCTGCTATTGATTTTATTAAAACATGCTTTGTTTGAATGAGACCCAGTTTATAAAAGGTCAAGAATTCCTCTGCATCTTTGCCTGGAGTAATTTTTATATCTAATTTTAACTCCCTTTAAATAGGCTGTAGAGACTGCTATATTCTGGTATATTTTCTGACACCACAATAATTCTTGACATTTCAGATATAACTGATCAGAAAATACTGGCAGAGACAGTCACTTGGACATCTGAGTGTATTATTCTAGGGCTCTGTAGCATCGGGAAGCACTAATTTGCATGTGAGACCAAAGCTGGCAATCTCAGCTTTCCTGCAAAATAGTTAAGGTATGGAAATGGAAAATGAAAAACAGAAAAAGGGACTTTAGTCCCCTGGTTTTCAAATCAATCTCTTCATGTTAGTGCAAGACTCATGAGTCCTGAATGATTGAATTTGACAGTATTCCTAAAGGGCACAACAGCATGAAGAGATTTGTCGCAACCTGGTGCTAAAGAAGCAAAATTTTGCCATGGAATCGTATGGTCTAACAAAAAGGAATTAAAAGTTGGAAAATATGCATTTAAGCTATTGAAGACTGAGTAATATATTTTAAGTCTACATGATCACTGAAATTGAATTTTGTATATATGTGTATATGTATATATATTTTTTTAATACTGCCAAGGCAATAGCTACCTTTATTTGCTCATTTCTAAGTAGTTTCTAAGTTTCTAATTTATGAGCAGATGTTCTTGGCAGCAGGGGGATGTAAGGATCTCTTACCTCTGTCTGCACTGGATACATTCATCAATTATCTTCCTGGATCTTACTTGTCTTTTTTTCAAGGCTGGAGGACAGTACAAACACAGGGAGATGTCTACTAGTTTAACTGACCTAGGAAGAGGTTAATAGATATGCTCTAGTGTCAGCATGGATTCTTTTAGATCTGTCAGCAGATACAAAATTTTGATTTAGCTGCAGATTCTGGCAGCAGTGGATGCAATTGCACAGCAATGTTTGGATCCTTTCTTGGCAAGGTCCCAGAGGTGGGCTTTGGCAATTTGCTTGTCAGCCATAAGAAATGTTCTGAACAGGCCTGGCTTGTCATTTGGCTTCTCATCCTCCAGATCCAACCCAGAGATAACACCACAAGAGAAGACAGTGCAGCAGTTTGGCTGCAGAGCATTAGACATGCTGCTTTGTTTGTCATATTCAGTTGATGCAATTTCTTCTCTTTCCTTCAGAGAAGTTCCTTCCTTGATCATTTGTTAGAACTGGAAGCTCAGTGTTGAATGAGAAGATGGAGCGTTCTCTGCCCCAACAGCAAAGAAGGGGTTTCTGCTTACCCGAGCCAACAGGAGTGTCTCATGCATGCTGTAGCAAAGGCACAGAAGCTGTGCAGAAGCTGTGCCTTTACCTATTCTACATTCATTCTGGATAAAGCAAAAAGAAACTAGAGATACTTAAGCAAGTACTGAGGAAATATAGTGGAAACAGTACATATAATCTGCCACTCTTCTGTGAAGATGTACATGAAGAAAGACATTGATGAAGAGGTGACTTTTGAGAAGATATTCATATGAGGAGAGTCATAGCCAATTTGCCTGAACTTCTTCCTTAAACAGAGGATAAGCAAGAAGGGAAAAAGCCTTTTTTAGAGAGATAAATGAAGGTGAGCATCAAGGCTGGCATTTCTGGCAGACTAAAAAGAGTAGGACAATCAAATAAGAGACAGTATTAGATTATATTACAAGGGCAGTTATGCTCCCAAGAACAAATAAATGTAAATTTGACATGATGGAGAACCAGAATCACTGGAAAGACAGCACGAGAGGGCACAACACATTTGGATCAATAGGAAAGGAGGAAATGGAGAGGAACAAGTGATCAAGGTAGATAAATGACCTGTATCTAAATGAAAATGATTTTAGGTGTTGGAAGTAAGATGAATTGAGATATTGCAAGGAAAGAAACCACAGCTAGACAAGGTCTAGATCAGAAGATATAATCAGACAAATTTCTCGCTGTGTATGAATGCAACCTAAGTGATGAGGAGAAAGGTAGTATGGATATGACTGACAATGTCAATAATGGGGGCTCTACAGAAACGGTCATGATTTGGTATTTCACATGATGACAACTCCTAGGCAGGGAGGCCAGGAAGGTTGTCAGAAACCCTGACCTATCCAGGAGACAGCAGCACTCAATATGCCACCCATAAATAATCACCAGCTATTTCGTAAGTATTAATTTGAAAAAGTAATCCATGGTTCAATACAGTATTAAGAAATGACTGCAGGTAAGATTGTCACAAGAGGTTAATTTAGAATGATGGTGCCTGTCATTATTAGCACTAGGACAAGCTTATGCTCATCAACGTTTATGCTACTCTTACAACTTCTGTAAGATTACATGGATAAAAAAAAGGAACAGAATTTGGCCTGCATTAGTTTGTCACCACCCCTTGTTTTAATTCATGTTTGCTATAATCTGCTTTTAAATACTGTCACTCTTAACTGAAATTATTGAGTTAGTATACTTACCTAAATCTCAAGCTGCTGCTCTGGTTCATTAGAGCTCTAAACAGAAAGTGTGAACATGCATAACTGTTGGAAAAAAACCTGCACACATCAAAACAACCCCCCAAAGCAGCTCAGCAGCTTGTTTCTGCACCCTCCTTCATAGAAAACAACCCAAGTTGGCAAAAGTGGTGGAACCTGGTTTTGCTTTTAACATTTTTCTTAACCTAAACGCAGCATATTATAAGGTAATAGCCAAGTTGCAATGTTGCCTGGGGAACTTTGGCAACCCCAGGCTTGGTTGTTACTTACCAAGGGGTGCAGTTAGATAGCTCTACATGGAGTATGCAATAAACAAGAGTATTGTAGTTCATATTCTAGTGAACAAGAGATCTATACATTGTCAAGTACAGGAGAGCTAGTCTTTAAAAAGAGCAATATTATTTATCTTAAAATAAAAAAATAATGCCCAAAATGGATGAAAGAAAAAAAAAAAAAAAAGTGATAAATTCTTTTATTTCCAAACGTGCAACTGCATTGGCTTCTGTAAAATCCGCCACTTTCAACAGCAAAACACAATTCCAATAAATTGTCTCTTTTCCTTGTCCTGCTCATGGTTGATCAGTGACTACAGCGCAGACCAAAATCAAGATGCATATTTATTTTTAATTTTGTATTCTGTGCAATTCCTTTTGTTACATAATCGGGTAATAAGACAAAGCTGCAAGCCAAGTCGTGTTCTCTGTTATTATTGGTGTAAATGGAGAGTCGTTTCGTGGACTCTCGACTGTTTAACTGAATTTATAGCTGAGCTAACGAGAACAAGATCTTATCCAGGAACTGTAATTATTTCGCAGTAATCACATATAGGAAATAAATTGTACAAGGGCTGAATACTGCTGTACAGAGCACGAATATCTTGAACAGTTCCAGACCCCCGGAGCAGCAGACCCACACAACCCCAGTCCCGAGAAGCGTACCGACCGCCTCCGCGCATTCTCCTGCCCGGGCGCCTGCGGCGGAGCGTCACCCCGCCT